CAGTTAAGACTAAACCTGAGGAAAATATGACTAAAGTTAGTTAAAGAGATTATCGTTTAAAATACGAATAATATTAGTTGTATAATACCTTGATGACTTAGAAGACATCTTTGACGATGTAGAATGTCATCAGCCATGAATTCCCAACATTGTTCCCACACATGTTTCGGCCTAGACATTGATTCGTTTGTTAGGAGTGTAACAAATAAGAATCTCAGCTGTTTGCTGAACACCAAGAACTTGCTTCCTTAAAAACATCGATGTACTCCCTGTCATCGTCCAGTAATCCCAAAGCATAGAATGCATCAGGATAGGTGTTGTGAATAACACCATTGACAGTTCTCAAATCTTCATACGAAGTGGGACCTCGAACGATGTTTAGAAGAACTCTCATATAATAAGACTCACCAGAGCCTGGTGGGACGTACACAACACGTCCAATAGCAAACCCTCTTTGTCGAGGTTCATACTCTCTTTTAGCTTGCTTCCAAACAAATTTTTGTGGGAATTCGGCATACGTTAGAGTCTTTGCATCACGATATTTTTCATTTTCTTTCATCCAGGCAAGAAACGTACTCTCTCGTATGCTTTCTCGAGTATAAACATCACCTGCGTCATCATCATCTTCAAAGAAAATCCATTGCTCACCAGGAAGGTGAAAGCTTAAACGTTCCACATTAGGACATTTATACTGTATTGCAAATCCAAATATTCGCCATGTTGCCACGCAAGGAGAGATATATCTGCAATCATAGTACATTTTAATCTCATTAGGAGTTTCTGTTGTTTCTTTATCTCTGCTCTCTGTGCTAGCATAAAATCCTGCGGTGACACGGCTATGGCCTTTGTTGATATACTTGAACAAATATTTGATTGAACGTGATTGATTGCACCATTCAACATTTAAGTGAGCCCCGTATTTCATTAACAGATATAGAAATCATCCTAAATAGGACTAAAACATAGAGAAAAATACCAAAATAGGACTTTCATGTTTTTTTCTCGGAATAGGACTTTGCACTGTGGTAATGTGACTTTGCATTGTGGTAATGTGGCAGTGTACATATGCAAATTACTATACTTTTTTGGTAATGTATATGACCATGTTTGGTAATGTAAGTCCTATTTCGGGAATAAAAACATGGAAGTCCTATTTTGGTATATTTTCAATGTTTTAGTCCTAGTTTGGTCTTTCTCCCTAACATATATCTATTGTGTGGGACTACGAACCTATTATCCAACTCACCATTGTTCCTCATTATTGTCCGGCCATTATTCCTTCTCCAATATTTGGGGTAACCATCTTCATCAATATTTGTTTCATCATTGAATTCCTTTGGAAAATATTTAGAGCACTTGCCATCCTTCATGCAAGGTGAGTTTGGTGAATTCGAGCCACAGGGTCCGTGAATCATAAAATCTTGAACAGCCTTGAAGTATGTTGAATCATTCAATTCATCAGGCAACTCTGTAGATATGATCTCATCAATATCTTTAGGAGTGGGGAATTTATCTTCTTGACCCCAAAAACAATAAGATGTGAGCATGCGGTAGTCCACGCTTTTGGAATTCGACAGTATACACAACTGCAATTAAAATAGTGGTACACCAATTAGAAATGATGTTGTAATTAGAATATATTACATTTAGTATACAACAGATAATTAAATAGTACTTACGTCCTCTAATTCTTCCAAAAATCTTATTCTTCTTTAAATCTCGTATTAAGCCATTGAGTTTCATGTTAAACACCCTAGAAACAATATCTGGGCGATCTTCAGCATTTAATTCTCTTCCTTGCAAAAAACGCTCAATATCTGGGCGATCTTCAGCATTATATACCACTTTCTAATTTTTTTTATCAAATTTAGATTCCGGAAATAACCTCAAGCATAATCTCTCTCAATAAGAAGGCGCTTGCACCCAAGATATTCTTGCACTCTCTGTCCCAAAGAATGAATGTGGCATGACCGGTTGAATCGTAAACACGAACATTAACTTTGTACCTATATAATAAAGTGTAAGACGTGCATTTACAATAGGTCACATAGTAACATAAATGATCTGTAAATTAAATTAATCAAAATAAAATTAGACAATAGTTACTTGTAAACTCCATGAGGAACTGAAATGCGACATCTGGAACACCTGAAATTCTCGCCATCGGGGATTACTTTCTTGTTGCAATCGGTACATCCCAAATAACACCAATCAGCGACATTTTCAAGAGATGCTATTTCACCAAAAATCCAATATGGCCCAGGCTGTTAATAGATTCACGATTATTGTTAGGTCTAAGTGTATTATTTTTTTGTTTTCAACGTGAAAGTGTTGTTTTTTTACCTTAGTCGTGTCCAACAGAGTCCTTATTGTGGTTATTGACATAACCCCTTGATCATCATCTCCCCCAGATAGCATGAGACCACCCACAGGACCCCCATCATCAACATGCAATGGTAACCTATAATATTTTAATAGTAGAGGTTTAGTAGACGAAAAAACTCACTGCGGCCGAAAAATAAATAATATAAGCATAAATGACCTTGCTCTGAATGCATTGACCTCAGCGGAATTGCCATCAAAAATCATGTTTGTTACGTGGAATGAAGTTGACACCGTCACAGTACCTACACAAAGAAATTGTGTTTATTTACACATTTATAAAATTTATATTGCGGTTAAGGTTTGAGGAATTGTATCTTACCCATGTAACGTCTTGGTTTGCAAAAACTCAAAAGTAAAATCACCGGTTTCTGCACATTTTGGGTCAAACAACCCAAAAATCTATCCACATATTCTCCCCACAGGGTACATCCCAAACGATTACCCCTGAAATTTTCATAAACTTGAGGAAATTTGAATGTATAATGTTGTAAGAATATGTCATATCGAATTTTTTTTCATACTCATGAACTTCTAGTGTTATTTCCATCAACTTTTGTTCTCCGCCACTTCTTATGTGTGTTTGAACTTTTGACCGGCCAACAATTTTCCCAATCACATCTGCATTGATTTTTTTCTCGATGAGTTTGCGCGTATGAATGATCTTAATACAATGCTTGCATATTATGATACTTTGATAATTTGTTTAAAAAATAATCAAGTACCAATCAAGATTTGATCGTTCAAAATCGTTTGGTTTTGAATCATCGCAAAAGATTTCAAATAAAACATGAAACGTGGAAAATCGCTCCCATTCAATGTTTTGACTTGTGTTTTGGCGTAAAAAACCAAAAGTTTTTCATTTGCCGTGGTTTTGCAGGATTGGAAATTGTCTTGAACAATGACCTCCCGAATTCCATAAACACCATTTCCCACAATTTGATTCTCAAAACGTTTTTTTCCCGGTTTTTTGAGATGCATGTGAATCCTCGTGTCTTATACAAACAAAAAGAGTTTAGATTATAAAAAGTTAATAAATAAATTACGATTAAGTGCAAAAAAATTGAGAATATCATACATGTTCATTGTGAAAAATGATCTCCATTGAATCTCCGCCTTGGGTCAAAACAGGAACAAAATACACACGCACAGCCCGTAACTTGAAGATGAAATTCGTCCGAGTGTTGTCAAGCTCGGCAACGGGAGACCACATGCTTAAAGAAGACGTTTGAGACATTTGATGATTTTTTTAGGATGTTTGAGAAGTGAATTTGTAAGGAATGAAGTTTACATCATTATGCTCGAGTATATATAATACATGCTCCATGATTTCTTTAACCATTCATTAAATGCTTTAGATATTAAAAATCTTTATAATAGATGTATTTGACACAAAGTAACTTTTTATCAAATCAACTTTATGGAGCTACTAAATTTTGGTTACCCAATGCAACTTTATGGAAGGTGGAAATTGAATAGACATAAAGCAAATTTGATGTTCACAAAAGCTGAAACCCGTCCACCAAGCAGGCCCAAAGCCGTCCACCAAGCAGGCCCAAACCCGAACCACAAAGCCCTCACCTTTGGCGGGAACACTATTCATGAATTGCACCTAGCATTGTATATATGAGGATTCTTTCCTAGTCTTTATATATATTAAAAATTCAATATTTAGGGGGTGTATTCAATTTAGATTTTATAAGATTCTAATAGATTGTTTAGAATCTGTTAAATATGTAAAATCAATGGATTATTTAGAGTTTACACAGAGTTATATAGATTTTACTGTATTTTATCACGAGATTTCATAAGATTCTAGTAGATTACTTATTTGTTTGTTTTTTAAAATTTCTCGCATTACGCTAACATTAATTATATTTATGAAATTGATCAAAAACTTAAATTAAAAAATAATATAATAAAAATAAATTATTTTTTAAACATTATTATAAATTTATTAGCACAGAATAAATTTGTTTTTAAACTCAAAGCATTATTATCTCTAAACTATTTTTCATATAAGTAAAATTTTATCAATAAAAAATAAAAGACAACACAAATGATAGAAGATATTACTCAAAAATTCAAAGAAAAAATAAAAATAAAGTTATTAAATAATATAGCTCTCTCTCGCTATCACTTCTTCTTTTATTTATTGATTACCAAGCAAAAATCAGAATATGAGTATGTACCATAAAAATATAATAGAAAACTACAATACTAGTGTATATAAACCATAAGAAGATATTAAACCAAATATATTTTGGAACAACTTCATAAACCAAAAGTACCCAAAAATAATTTAATAAACAAGAGTGCTCTTAACTCTCAACAAAAATGAAGTCAAATAACACATTTAAAATAAAGTCACATAATCCGTGCATTCATCCTAATATATCTTCTCATTTTAACCTCGCATCTTGTGGTGTATCCAACTTAACCGTTCTTCAGGTGACATGTTCAAGAACACATCTTTTGAAAGAGCAGAGGGAAGTGACTCGGTCCCTGCCATACCAAAACAATGTTGAAGACATTACTGTTAAATATGTTAAGATAATATTCCATATTTAATATGATTAACATATATATGGTAGATTCCATAGTTGTATAGGATTCCATTTAATGTAGTTTCCTTATACTACACCCTCCTATATGTATATAAGGGGAGGTAAATATCTTGTAATAATGATTGGAAATATACAATTCTTCATGGTATCGGAGCCAATCCTACGCTAATCCCGAACCACCTCCTCTCTCTCCCTTTCACGGCGCAGCCCTTCTCCCTCTTCCTTCCGCCGAGTCATCTTCCCTCTCCGACGAAGGAGTCGCCAGTCCCTTTCCTTCACTAGCCACCTTCTCCCTCTTTCTTTGTCAACATGTCATCGGAAAAATCTGTCTCTTCTTCCACCACCGCTGCAAATACCCCTCATCTTGCTTTTACGACCGTCTCTAATGTCAAACTACAAGTACCCATCACTCTCAGTTTCTCGGAACCAAACTACAAGAAATGGAGTCGTCTTTTTCTTCTCTTGGTCAGACGGTTCAATCTTGAAGGCTTCGTCACCGGTGAGAAAACCTCCACCGGGAAAGATGATATTGAATGGCTTCAACTAGATGCCCTCATTCAAGGATGGATTCTTTCAACCATCAACGATGAGGTTTCCGATCTCATCATCTCCTCCACCACATCTGCAGCAGATTTATGGAAAGCTATACACAACATATTTCATGACAACAAGGCGGCCAGAGCTATGCAATTGGAGCACAAATTTTACAACACTTTCAAAGGCACGTCCACCATCACAACTTACTGTCAAACCCTTCAGAATATTGCCGATTGGCTGGACGATGTGGATGCCCTAGTCACCAAAAACCAACTTGTTCTCCAAACCCTACGTGGACTCCCGGATGACCTTGGCAAGCAAGCCTCCTTCCTCCAATTCCAAAAACCGCCACCGACGTTCATGGAAACGAGATCGACCTTTCTTTTCTTAGAACAACAAAATCGGCCTCTTATCACTGCCGGCGAAGGAGGTTCCGCCCTAGCAGCCACCATCTCTGGGCCGTAGGGTTTCGGCGGTGGAGCAAGCCGGGTGCAGGGTTTTCTCCGGCACATTGGGTTCCAAAGCTGGAAAACAAACACTTCTCTCTTTGTCTACATGCATGGGTCCCACATGGCATACTTACTCTTATATGTGGATGATATTGTTCTTACAGCTTCGACAACTACACTTTTATCCCAGATCACAGAACATCTGAAGGGGAGTTTGCCATGACTGATATGGGGGAACTTAATTTCTTTCTTGGCATTAATGTTCAACGTACCAAAGACGGCAATCTTTTCTTACACGAGACGCAGTTTGCTCAGGAAATCCTCGATAGGGCAGGTATGCTACACGGTAAGCCCATTTTTACACTGGTTGACTCCAAAGAGAAGTTATCAGCCACCTCTGGGAACGCACCACTGATGACTCTCTCTATCGTTCCCTCGTTGGTGCACTTCAGTATCTTACATTCACTCGACCAGATCTCACTTATGCCGTTCAGCAGCTATGTCTCTATCTTCACTCCCCACGCACGACCCACCTTACGACCCTAAAACGTGTCCTTCACTATCTCCAAGGCACAGTCACTCATGGGATCACTCTTTCTCACTCTCCATCGAATTTTCTACAGGCTTACTCTGATGCAGACTGGGCAGGGTGCCCGGATACGCGACGCTCCACTTCTGGTTATTGTGTGTTCTTAGGGGAAAACTTGATCTCATGGTCTTCTAAGCGGCAAGCCACTACTTCCCGATCTAGTGCTGAGGCAGAGTATAGAGTTCTTGCTAATGCGGTTGCTGAAACCAGTTGGATACGAAATCTTCTGCTTAAACTCCATTAGCCACTACACCGCGCCACTATTGTGTTCTGTGACAATGTCAGTGCCGTCTACTTGTCCTCGAACCCGGTACAACATCAACAAACTAAGCATGTTGAAGTAGATATTCACTTTGTTAGAGACAAAGTTGCATTAGGGCAAGTTCGAGTTCTCCATGTGCCATCATCGTCCCAGTTCGCAGACATCTTCACCAAAGGACTCTCCTCACTTCTCTTCACTGATTTTCGACACAACCTTGGTGTTTAGAAATCACCGACGTAGTTGGTAGCATGTTAAATATGTTAAGATAATATTCCATATTTAATATGATTATTATATATATGGTAGATTCCATAGTTGTATAGGATTCCATTTAATGTAGTTTCTTTATACTACACCCTCCTACATGTATATAAGGGGAGGTAAGTATCTTGTAATAATCATTGGAAATATACAATTCTTCAATTATACCGGGAGCATGTTAAATAGCCGGGAGCATGTTTAAATATATATTTTATATTTAATGTATATATATTATTTCATATTATAGTTTCCTACCTTGTATAGGATTAGAAATACTTGTATATAATTAGACATGTACTCCCACACAATCATTCAATGAAATTAACCTTTCTACAAGGAGAAGAAGATTGGCCAAAGGAGAAGAAGATTGCGGACCGGCTCTTGGACTGGAGAAAATCCACAGGGGTTTGGTTGGATTTGAAAAGACTTTTTTATTTATACCTAAAGCTAAAAATCCATCACAATCCATTTTTTATAACAATCCTTAAAAATCTATCAATTTTTCAATATTGATGGGTATATCCCTATACCCGACCCGGACAACCGAAAGGGACAGGTCAAAATATGACCGGTCACTTTTATCAATCACCAAATGAGGTTAACTCTTCGATTGGGACGGGTCAACTTTTGACCGGTCACTTCCACTAAAAAAGTGACCGGTCACATTTTGGGCGTTAGCCAAAATGTCGCCTAATGTTACAAAGGACATTCTAGGAGACCAGAGACGGGTTGAGCACAAAGAATGACCGGGTAACCNTTCCTATTTTGTCCATGGATGAACAGGGGAAGGTCACAAATCCTTCTCTATAAATATGATGATATTGGATAGAGGAGGGGATCCAATTTTTCTCTCACTAAAGTTCACTCTTGAGATAGAGTAAGAAATATAATTCGGACTGAGGAGATTTACCCGGTCTAGGTCATACTTTGTGTTCTTGTTGTGTGTTTTATATTACGGGTCGAGTGTGTCTAGGTCAAACCCGGTTAACTCACCCCGCTATATTTACACCATAATTTTTGGCGCCGACCGTGGGACCGATTTTTAAAGTTTTTTCGACCAGGTCAAAACTTTACCCCCACTAAATATCCACAATCATGTCTTCAAGCAACCACAACACTATGTCTAGCCAGGCTGCGAGTGAAAGCACTCCTGCCATCCCACTGATGATAACGAGCATGGGGACGACCTTTGCCCCAATCACCACGGTAGGATCAAGTGGCATGATCCCAATCATGTCAACCCCTACTCCTACGCCAACGACGACAATGTTCCCAGGCTCAATAACAACGCCTGGGGGGCATTCACGCCATATCCCTCAAGCTTGGCTCAATTTGCCGCTGACCCAGCAAACGCTCAAGCTCTGCAGGGCTATCAACAGGTGATGGCCATGATGCAACAGGCAGGGGGCTTCATGCCATTTTCCTATCCTGGCATGATGCCACCGATCATGAGTCCTATGGCACCCCCGGTTTGGACCCCGTCGACATTCGTTCATAGAATGGTTCCTATACATCCGGTGAATCTGACGGGGACCATGAATGAGGTAGCGCCCTCAAATGTCCATGAAGTTGACGAGGCGGAACGGGAGGCAGCCCGCAGGAGGAAGGGTAAGGCTATAGCCAAACCGAGCAAGACTCGAGATTCGGCGTTCACACGCCTAGGGGACAAAGAGGATGGACCCTGCAAGTCTTCCAAGCTACGTCTTGGTCCTGAGATGGGCCGGATTAGCGCAATGGAAAGACTTGGCGGTAGTCGTCATGCCCAATCTTGTTGTTCTAGGGAATCTAAGACGATTCACCTAGATGAGGAGGAAGCTGAAAGCCAGCCCAGAGCATCGACATATACCAGGCTCTCATACGATGAGGATGACCTGGACAAGATGGGGAGCATAGCGAGAAAGCTACGTGCCCTGGAGGAAAGGGTAGAAGAGAAGGCGGGAGCGAAGAAGCACACCCTGGCCAAATCACCCTTTTTCAGCCAGGGTACATGCACAAAACTTGAGGCGGAAGGTCAAGCTGGACGTGGAGAAATTCACTGGAAAGGAGGATCCAAATGTCCACCTTGACACCTTCCATAATGCAGGGCAAATGGCCGGGTGTACTAATGCTGAAGAATGCCTACTCTTCTTCTCATCCTTGAGGGGGAGGCCAGTGGAATGGTTTAACAGCCTTCCACATGGTAAGATCGGGTCCTTTGAAAAACTTGCTGAGATTTTTCGCAAGAAGTACGAGGACAACTGCATCAAAAGGAAGAAGTTCACCTACCTTAACACGGTAGGGCAGAGGGAGAAGGAGTCCTTGACTCAGTTCTTAACTCGCTGGAGGGACGAGGTCGACAAAGTAGAAGATATGGACGACAAGACGGCCATGTCTTTGCTGATGAATGCCTTTCGGTCGGGTGACCTCTACACTGAATTTTGTAGAAGGCCACCCTCCTCTTATCAGGAAGCCTACAATACGGCATGGGAGTACGCGGAGGCGGAGGTCCTAAACAAGAGAAAACGAGCACTGGAAGAAGGTTATATGAAGGTCAAGACCGAGAAGCCAAAGAAGTGTTGGAACACACTTTGTACGTTAAACTAAAGTCGTGTTCATTTCTGACAGGTTTTGATAATTGCCAAACCGCCGTGGATATGAAGAGTTTCGTTGAATAACTCAAGGCGTGAAGAATGGCTTGGAACAAGACCTAAAAGACTCAAGGACAAGATCAAGAATTGAAGACTTAGTCGAGTCGGTCTTTTGTGATCAAAACCGACAATTTATTCAAGTCTCGGTTCTCAAAAAGTCAAAACAATTTTTACAAACCATAAAACATTTTTTGTGCATCAAAACAAACATTTTTTGATGACTTCTTTTAGTGTTAAAATCCCTGGTCCTTGCTCAGAACCAAAACCACCTAAGTCGGCGTTCGGCTTTCGACGTTCGGTCTTCGGCGTTCGGTTTTTGGCGCCCGAACGAACTCCGTGGTTTTCAATATTTTAAACCTTGTTTTTATCTCTGAGCATATTTTAAAGGTTCCCGAATACTTATTTTATAAAAACCACTTTTGTATCTTGGTCAATCGGTCTAACACGTGAAAAACGGTCAAAACCGTACGCACGTGATTTACGACCTTGAG